CGTGCTAGTGTAGCCCAATGGCATCTGTTTGCTCTATATTGCCGTACCATATTTGATAGGGTTCAAATATGGTAACACCTACGAGGGCGATTAGAGGTCACCCCAAAAGCCTCTATCCCTCTCGGAAAGACTGGCAAGCTACCGAGAGTATTCCGCCTGCACGGCAGAGCCTGGCAAGCTATCCGTTGTGTATTCGATATGCCAAAACCAGTAATTACAACTGGTCTCATTCACCTGACCCTGAAGGCTTCACTGACATGGTAGCACTGAGAAGGATGAGCAAAACATTTTATTTACTGGTAATTAAAAAGTTACCAGTAATAAAAAAGTTTTGCTACTGAAATAATAACTGTGACTTCTTCATCAAGATCCTGAATGATCAGTTTGAGGCTCTTCATGTTCCTACAATGAACAGATGCCATTGGGCTACACTAGCACGTAACAGGGATGAATGGAGACGTTACTGGTGCCCGCTCGAGCAAATCGACGATTAACAGGAAGTCAAGTGATCAAGTGATCAAGCAAAACTTTAAAAAAATTATCCTATAAGTATTTTCAATAGATCCCATCTTCTGTGGTCTAGAAACACAAGCCAAAACATTTTGCATTGAATTCTAAATCCTAAAGGTTATACATTAGGAAGTGGAAATGTGAGAAGGCAATTGTTCCATAATGTTCTGTTATGGAGATTTGTTATGATGTTCTTATGGAAATATGGTGTCATAATTCTCTTTGAGAGAGGATATTAGACCATAGCATTATTCTAAAAGAGACTCCAGAAATCTTCCTCAATCTTTCCACCACACGAGGACAGAAGATGGTACTAGTTCAAAAGAGGGAAGACCTTCAGCAGAACAGAACACTGCAGCATCTTGATTTTGGTCTTCTTAGTATCTTAAACTCTTGCTTGCAAGTTGCCTATTCTATGGCACTGAGTTGAAAACAGTTCAAGCAGACTAAGATAGATCTCTCTAGGAAGTTGCTTGTGTAGATATGGGTAAGATAGAGATAACCTTTTTATCCATTCATCCATATTTGATCACTTAGTTTTTTTTCCATACATTGGCTATTGTACTAAGGATCAATAGCTCAAGAAGTTTTGTTGCCTCATGAGTGTGGGGAGAAGGCAACAGGAATAGAGAAGTGATCACTAAGAAAATGATGAAGGAATTGGTCGGGATGGGAGATGTGTGCTGAAAGTAGATAAAGGATCAAACAGATGGCCTCTAGTATCTGTATTGCAAACCATAATGCCCAAAAGTAGAGGGAGAGTATGGGGGAAATTGTCTACCATGGAGGAAGGGGAGGAGTGGGAAAGGGGGGGGTTACACTGGGGAGACTGGTGGTGGGGAATGTACACTGGTAGAGGCATGGGTGTTTGATCATTGTATGATTGTAACTCAAAAATGATAGCTTGTAACTGTGTCTCATGGTGATTCAACAAAGTAGAAAAGAATAACTTGAAAAAAAGAAGTTTTGGTGTAGGAGATAATACTATGTAGCTCTAAGAAAGAACAAAATCATGGAATTTGGAGCAAAATGGATGGAACTAGAGTATACTGTGCTGAGTGAAGTCAGTTAGAACTGACCCACACAAGTGAGTTGGCAGGGGTAGGGGAATGAAGAGGAGGGGAATTGAAGTTCTGGGAACAGGAAAGTTAGTATGCTAGGGATGGGCATGCCATTGAAAGTATGTGTATGAGAAATCACAAACAGTATTGTAAATTACATAATCTCAATCAAGAACACATTAAAATAATATGTATATGTAAATATACAACTATTTTGGGGGAACTGCTTGACAGGGATTGAAGGTCTGGTGCTACTTTATCTCTGTCACTGTCAATGTCCTGTCACTGTCCTCCCGTTGTCCATCGATTTGCTCGAGTGGGCCCGGTAACATCACCATTGTGAGACTTGTTGTTACTGTGTTTGGCATATCGAAAACGTCACAGATAGCTTGTCAAGCTTTGCTGTGTGGACGAGATACTCTCAGTAGCTTGCTGGGCTCTCTGAGAGGGGAGGATGAATTGAACCCGGGTCGGTCAGGTCAGTCGCATGCAAGGCAAACGCCCTACTCTTGTGCTATCGCTCCAAGCCCACTTCATCTCTAAATACTTACAAAAGCACAATTACATACCCAAAGCACAATTATGAAATAATAAAAGAACATTGACATAAAATTAAAAGAAAACACTAGCTTTTGAGCCAGTGCTCTAGATCAGATAAAATGATTAATTACTCACAATGATGTATTAATACAATTCACTTTTCTTGCCATAATATAGAGAATGTGGGAGAAGAATATAGACTGTTATTTTCTTGGCTACCACTAAGTTTGGGAGCAAGACAGAGGACTCACTGTTGTTGTAGGAAATAGAGGGTGTTTTTCCGGAATAAAAATTCTTAGATTTCTAAAATCCGAATGTTAATGTTGAAATATCAGATAAACATTTAATCTATTTTTGTTATGGGGGGACCATGAACAGCCAGCAGTGCTCAGGAATCACTCCTCGATGGACTTGAGGGACCAAATGTGCATCCAGAGATTGAAACAAGGCCAATTACATGCATAGTAAGCACCTTACTGCACTATCTCTCCTGATCCCTTTTTTAGCTCTCTTAAATAGAGGTATTTGCAGCTGGGAATTTCCTTCTCAGCTCTAAAACTTACTAGAATGGCAAGTTTTGATATATTTTGTTCTTTTGAAATATTTTCTTTAGAAGTAGTGAAATAAATGCAACTTCTAATTTCTCTAAGTGCTCTGTAAGTAATCCAACTATGTCTTACTTGATTTATACATACACCTATGAATTTTAACTTTATTCTACTTTTTTGTTGTTAATTTTGTTCAATTTTAGTCAAGAATATATTTTTAAGGATTTCATTCATTCAAATTCATTGAGCCTAATTTTATGATCTCACCTATGGACTGTTGTGAAAGATATTTCATATCCACTTAGGACAAAAACTTTGGGAATTAATAGTATATAACTGCTAATCATATTAGTTGAACCGTTTTAATGTGTTTCACCAAATGTCCTTTATTATACTGAGGGGGGTTTTATGCCACTGCATCATCATATATCATTTGTGGCCGCATCATTTCTGTCTTAGATTTCTAAGTGTACTTATTAGTACACTTGCAGTTTTCTCTGATTCTCTTTTATTTTCATATGGTTCTCTTTTTCTTCTTCAGGTTGGATATTATTAATAAATTGTGTGAATGACTCTTCTCCAGTTCCAAGATTCTGCGATTTTTCTCAATTACTTTCACTATATATTTCAATTATTTAGTTGGAAACTAAATCTGACACCTTTTATAAGTATAATCCATGACGGAGCCAGAGAGAGAGTACAGTGGGTAGGGCATTTGCCTTGTATGCAACCGACCCGGGTTCAATCCCTGGCATCCCATATGGGGGCAAGCACTGCCAGGAGTAATTACTGGTGCAGAGCCACGAGTAACCCGAGTATCACTGGGTGTAACCCAGAAAGCAAAAATAAGTAAATAAATAAAGTGATTCACTTTTTAAGGGTCCTAAATTTTCTTTTGCCTTTCCCTTTATGTTTGTTGTTGTCAGAGTTGTGAGGACGAGAGGTGGCATACTTCAGTGCTCACTGGAATCAAATATGCAACTTAATGTGGTGCTTACATATATACTCACGTGGAAGTAATTCTCTTTAGCTGTGGTGTTCCCTCACACGTTGCTTGTCATGTTCACCAGACTCCAGAGAATTTTGTTGCCGTGCTCACCCACCTGATGTGGTACACCAAAGGTCATATATTTTGTGGTGGAGTCGGGGATTCCAAGCACCAGGCCTAGTGGGATTGCACTCAGATATTACCCAGGTTTGAACTCACAGCCTTTCCAGCTTTAGACTTTGCCAGTCAGGTAAGAGTTTTTGATACTGAGTCATCCTTCATTTAAGTGTATAATACATTGACATTAAGACAGGGACTAGAGCAATAGCACAGTGGGTAGGGTGTTTGCATTGCACGCAGACTGACCCGGGTTTGATCTCCAGCATCCCATATGGTCCCCTGAGCACTACCAGGAGTAATTCCTGAGTGCAGAGCCAGAATTTAGCCTTGTGCATTGCCGGGTGTGATCCAAAAATCAAAATAAATAAATAAATAAATAAGTTCACTACAATTGTGGCTAACTATAATTTCTAATTTTTACAAGCCTGACTCTTCAGTATACTCTGCCATGTGAAACACATTCTTACACTTTATTATAAATCTTTAGAGACAATACTTTCCTTTCAACATGTTGAGGATAACTTATTCAAAAATCTCTCTTCTAGGGGCTGGAGCAATAGCACAGCAGGTAGGGCATTTGCCTTGCACGCAGCCGACCTAGATTCGATCCCCTGAGCACCGCCAAGAGTAATTCCTGAGTGCATGAACCAGGTGTAACTCCTGTGCATCGCTGGGTGTGACCCAAAAAGCAAAAAAAAAAAAAATCTCTCTTCTAACTCCAATATTTGGGATTCCTCTCAGAGATTTTCTACAGACAACTTGCTTTCTCATTTAATGACAATATCTTTTACCACTTCTTTGTAAGTCTCACAACGTTTTTAGTAAAAACCATACATTGAAAATAATACGGTGTGACAAATATGGAAATACAATTCTTCCTCCTCAAAGGCAGAGTTCATTCTGGTTTTTATTTATGTGGTTCCTCTTAGTGACTCTTCTAGCCTTACAGTGTAGTGCTTTAATTCTTTGTCATGTGAGTCATGGCAGTCTCAGCTTCCTTAGCTTAGTGGTCAGCCAATGATAGGAGGGCAGAAGTTTCACTGCCTCCAATGGGGATCCGGTTCCCCAGATTTCACTTGAAGTTACTGCATGAGTTTAATGTTTATCCCATCTGTTATTAGTAGCCTCAAGACAACCGCCACTAATTGTCTTAGATAAATATTTACCATGGAAAACCTATTAGGACCAAGGGAGCTTTGAGTCTGTCATATTAAACTAGAAGTTTCCCAGTCACCCACCACTGCACCTGTCCCTTCTAGGTTGGCTGGTGCAATGCAGTGGGGAGCTGAGACTAAACCCCAGTTTAGGAAATGGAATTGATCTTCAAGCAGATGACTCTGTGCCAAAAACATGGAACAGCCTGAATGAGGCAAAGGGGTGTGGTCAACTGCCTGGTCTGGTGGTGTGTTGTGACAAATCTGAATAAAAAAAGAAAAGAAATGAGAAGCTTCCAGGGAACTGATAGTCACGTTAACCATTGACAGTTCTCTGGGATCTGTGCTTTTCTTTTGTAATTTTTTTAAATGAATGCAAATTTTTTTAACTGAATGTAATGCTGAGATGGAGCATTACAAAGCCATTCATGACTGGGTTTCAGTCATAAAATGTCCCAACACCCATCTCTCCATTGGGTAATTTCCCAACACCAATGTCCCCAGTTTCCCTCCTAACCCTCAACCTATGCCCCAACCCCAACCCAGCACTGCAGCCTGCCTAGAATTCCCGAGGGAAGAAAAATGGATTTAAGGTGCTTCAAAAGCATCACTCCCTGGTAGCGTTTCAGTATCTGGGAGTGGTGCTTTTGAGGCAGCCTCAAATCCATTCTAGGCTTTTGGTCTTCATTCAGGGTGTTTTAGTTCAATAGTTGATATTCAAGGTTGAGTAGAGAAATGAATCATGGAAGTTAAAACACCATAAATCTCACTATTCTTTCTGACATTTAGCTACATATTGAGTAAATGTTCCACAGGTTGCCACAAAGTTTACATTCCAGAGATCTTTTAACAAGTTGATTTTAGGAAATTTCCCAGTCTTTCTTTGCTTTTATGGAGAAAGGGATTTTTGCAAAACACTACTATTTTTTAAATATCACTATAAAATATTCATGTTTAGAGCTAACCAAATAAATATTATATGTTGAGCAGTAGAAACCACCAAAAATTTTCAAGTAAATGGAAAGACATAGTATGATTCTAGTTTAGAGGAGGCAATGTATTTAAGATTATTTTACTTCACACTTTGATTTATAATTTTTTTTCATTTATACTCAGAAGCCTAGTAAATATGTTGTGGCTATCAGAAAGCCAATTTGATCTGGGGGATGTAAGTCAGTGGTAGTGAATTTTCTAACAGGACAGGAACCATATTGGTTTAGTTTTTTATATTTTAGTGCCTCTCCGTGTCAAAGTCCTATGTGTATTTTATGATGTCAGTGACATAATTTCGATGTAATGAATGGAAGCATAGTGAACTGGAGAGATAGTACAGTAGGTAGGGTACTTACTTGCATGTGGCCAACTGGGGTTCAACCTCCAGCACTGCATATTTTCCCCTGAGCCCTGTGAAGAGTGACCTCTGAGCACAGAGCAAGGAGGAAGTCCTGAACATTGCTGGCTATGGCCCGCAAACAAGCAAATAAGTAAAATGGAAGCTTAATGCTATACTTACTGTCAATAACGTGTTCTGTAATATCTTTGTTACTTTAGTTTTTATTTGGTTTTGGAGTTATTCTTAAGATTTTGATTTATTTTACTATTATTCCTTTCTAAAACATGCAGTGCGTTTATCATTGCTTGTTGCCCTCAACACCAGGAGTCATTGGGCTGACCAAGAGGCCAGCTGTGGCAGCTCTTCTTATTCTGCTCATTCTGGAAGCAGCTGCAGAGGGTGCGTGCATATACGAAGGCATAAGAAAGGCACATACTCTGGGAGCTCTTCAAGAGATAGCTCATTTGTTGCAAACAGGGTCAACCTTATATACTATAAGGAGCAAGAAACAAACATCTCAGGGGGTCATCCAGAGCATACTTGCACAAAGTAAAGAAAGCACTTGCACAAAGCAGAGAACAAGGTGAAACGATGTTCATTCCTTGGGTCTGCTGCCCTGCCAGTTCAACCGTCCCCTGGAATTGTTTTACTGAGCTCACATTTACTGGAAGAGTGGTGGACCATTGCTGGGAAACCAAAGGGGAGCATCTGGGGAAGGGCCATCTACTGCTTGACCCATTTGGGTTGCCCCCAGCTATGCCTCACAATGTGCTTACACTGCTGCTTACACTGGTATTTGAATGTGATGTCCAGTTTTAAGTCGTCATTAATCAGGCTTATAAAACCAAGCTCCCGGAGAGAACAACGCAGAGAGTCTTCTGCCCCCACACCTGACTGTCCTCACTGGGGCCCCTTGGAGGGGGGTGGATTGAATTTCTCTCTCCACCCCGAGCAGAGCCCCGGCAGCTGAAGACCTCCGGGACCCAGCCACAGCCATACTAAAACCACTCTCCACACACTCAGACGAGCCTCATGCAAAAAGGAACTGGTAGAGGAGCCCAGGTGTGCGGGACCCGGGACTGAGATCTCCAAGCCTGCTGCTGTGTTTGGGACAGGGGCACCTCCACCCAGATCCCCCATCTTTCAGTATGTAGGCGTTATGCCCACCAACTGCCCCCAGTGCCGTGTAATCCCATCAATGGCCAAGACCCAGAGATTATAAAACCAAACTCCCAGAAGTGCTTGTCTAGTTCTCACTCTCAGAGAACCTGGCAGGCTACCAAGAGTATCCTGCCCGCATATATGCCGGACTGGGAACACCTGTAAAGGTGATTAGAGGCTGCCCCAAAAGCCTCCATCCCTCTCGGAGACCCTGGCAAGCTACTGAGAGTATCCTGCCCGCATGGCAGAGCCTAGCAAGTTACCCATGGTGTACTCGATATGCCAAAAACAGTTACAATGATGGTCCTCATTCCCCTGACCCTGAAAGAGCCCCCAATATGCCATCGGGGTACACTAGCACATGACAGGGATGAGTGGAGACGTTACTGGCACCCACTCGAGCAAATCAATGAACAACAGGATGACAGTGATAGTGATAGTGATTAATCAGGCAGTGTTGCATTTTCATGACATACTGGTGGTATTAGTGAAGTGAATTTCCCCTTGAATTGAGTGAACATACAAGTAGTATTTTCTGAAAATGGCATTTGAGAGTCCAGGATTCAAGTCCCTATTCAGGCATCAGTTTGGAACTATGGAGACCTGGGAAACATGAAAACTATCCTAGCACCTAGGGCAACAGATGTTCATAGGTCGTGTGTCCAGCCCGGCCAAGACAAAGCCTCTCACATGGACCATAGTCTCATATGTCATATGACTATATGACAAAGTTTGCAAAGAAAGGCAATAGTTAAATAGAGTCTGAGGAGAATGGTTAAATGCACTAATGAGTAGGTATTGTTTTGACTAGAAGGAAGCTGCTGGAGCATTATCCTTGATGATCTACGGAAGAGGCAAGGTTGAAGTATGACTGACACCCGAAGATGTTAGTTTCCCACTTTTTAAGCCATCGTCTGTGGGCAAATCAAGGCCAATTAATTGATGTTATCCTTACAAATGTCAGGTTCCCAAAGAAGTTGGTACTTGGGTTATTCCCAACAGGCCTACCGACCTCTAGTGGCCAAGGGGTCATGTCAGGGAGAACTGAAACACCTTCCTATTTTTAATTTCATTTCAGTAGAAGACATATTATTAGAGTGGTCTGGGGGGAAAAAGGAATATTCTTTTTCCTGAACTGCCTAACCTTTTCTTTGGCTGTATAATTAATTATTCAGTACTTTCTAAGTGTTCAATAAATGTTATCTGCAATTAATATAATTACAGATCCAGCTCTATGCTTGCCAATGTCGAGCGTAATCTTAAAACAACTTGATGTGGGAACCAGTCCAAATGTTTGGAAGGATCTTCTAATATGAACTGAGCAAAAGAAGAAAAGAAATGAAGGAAAATTGAGGAAAATCACTTCTTACAAGTTTAGATAATCTATAACATGTATAAGAAACATGCTGAGTAAAAGCTTCTATTGTGAGACACCAGTTAAACAGTACTTTCCAATTCATCTTCTACTTAACTTTCTTATCTCTTGGGTATGTTACTTTAAGTTAGAAGAAGATTTAGGTGTAGCAGTATGTCAGCATGAACTCAGAGAGACCTACCATCAGAGGGAAGAATAAATCTAGTTATTACATCCAGTCTTTAAATTCAGTAGCATATAGTGTCAGTGTATGAGTTGCAGGACATCAGTGTCAGTTCAGAAAGCATCTCCAATTGATCCCTTAAAAACACCACTTCCTGGCAGCATAGTTTTCTTCTCTGGGTTATTTCAATATCCCATTTTTCTCAATTAGAACTTTCTGGTGTAGAAGTCTTACTCTGATTTTTTTTAATTGCTGGAGAACAATTAGTATATTTGGTTAATCAAAAATAATTTGAGAGAAAATTTGTGTGAATATTACCATTTTAATATTACCCTTTTAACTCGAAAATATTGTTGAGCACAGTCGGCTTCTGTATGTGTGTATGCTGGTGGGGACACAATGTGCTATTTTCTTGTGTTCCTAAAGATACATTTGTGTCCGTAAATTTGGACAATTATTTTTTTTCTTACTCATGCTAGATTTAGATCAATGCCTAACTACATAAATATTCATAGACTAAATTAGATTTTATCCATTTGGTTCTGTGTGAAAATCAGTGAGGGACTGCATTTACAAATTATCACTAACCCCTTTCTACCTCCTGGAATATTTCAATACCTCCAAAGGAAAGAACATCTTATGTTCTAGTTTTTGAATGTTTAATGATACTACCATCCTTAATGCAAGGATGCTTAGTTGGTTACATTTTGCATAATACATCTGTCTTGCTCACTTTCTTTTACCTCTAAAGTATTTGTCCCAATTTAAAATAATTTTTTTTAAAAAATTGGTTCTTCCTAGGATGGGAGATGTGTGATGAGAGTAGACTAGAGACCGAACATGATTGCCACTCAATGACTCTTTTGCAAACCACAGCACTCAAAAGGAGACAGATAACAAAAGGGAATTCCCTGCCACAGAGGTAGGGTGGAATGGGGGGGATGGGGATGGGAGGGATACTGGGATCAGTGGTGGTGGAGAATGGGCACTGGTGGAGGGATGGGTACTCGATCATTGTATAACTGAAACCCAAGCACAAAAATTTGTAAGTCTACAACTGTACCTCATGGTGTTTCACTAATAATAATTTAAAAAAATTAAAACCAAAAAATAAATAAATAAAAAATAAAAATAATTGGTCCTATTTAGGCCAATGAAATCAGTTTAAAAAATTG